GGGGCTATTGTCATGGAGGCTTAGATAAAGATATGTACAGTGGGGCAAAAAAGTATTTAGTCCCCACCAATTGTGCAAGTTCTCCCACTTACAAAGATGAGAGAGGCCTGTAATTGGCATCATAGGTAGACCTCAACTATGAGAGACAAAATGAGAAAAAAAATCCAGACAATCACATTGGCTGATTTGGAAAGCATTTATTTGCAAATTATGGTGGAAAATAAGTATTTGGTGAATATGAAAAGTTCATGTCAATACTTTGTTATATATCCTTTGTTGGCAATGACAGAGGTCAAACATTTCCTGTAAGTCTTCACAAGGTTGGCACACACTGTTGCTGGTATGTTGGCCCATCCTCCATGCAGATCTCCTCTAGAGCAGTGATGTTTTGGGGCTGTCGCTGGGCAACACGGACTTTCAACTCCCTCCAAAGGTTTTCTATGGGGTTGAGATCTGGAGACTGGCTAGGCCACTCCAGGACCTTGAAATGCTTCTTACGAAGCCACTCCTCGTTGCCCGGGCGGTATGTTTGGGATCATTGTCATGTTGGAAGACCCAGCCACGTTTCATCTTCAATGCCCTTGCTGATGGAAGGAGGTTTGCACTCAAAATCTCAAGATACATGGCCCCATTCATTCTGTCCTGTACATGGATCAGTCGTCCTGGTCCCTTTGCGGAGAAACAACCCCAAAGCATGATGTTGCCACCCCCATGCTTCACAGTAGGTATGGTGTTCTTTGGATGCAACTCAGCATTCTCTCTCCTCCAAACATGACGAGTTGTGTTTGTACCAAACAGTTCTATTTTGGTTTCATCTGACCATATGACATTCTCCCAATCCTCTTCTGGATCATCCAAATGCTCTCTAGCAAACTTCAGACGGGCCCGGACATGTACTGGTTTAAGCAGGGGGACAGGTCTGGCACTGCAGGATCTGAGTCCCTGGCGGCGTAGTGTGTTACTGATGGTAGCCTTTGTTACGCTGGTCCCAGCTCTCTGCAGGTCATTCACTAGGTCCCCCCGTGTGGTCCTGGGATTTTTGCTCACCGTTCTTGTGATCATTTTGACCCCACGGGGTGAGATCTTGCGTGGAGCCCCAGATCGAGGGAGATTATCAGTGGTCTTGTATGTCTTCCATTTTCTAATTATTGCTCCCACAGTTGATTTGTTCACACCAAGCTGCTTGCCTATTGCAGATTCAGTCTTCCCAGCCTGGTGCAGGTCTACAATTTTGTTTCTGGTGTCCTTCGACAGCTCTTTGGTCTTCACCATAGTGGAGTTTGGAGTGTGACTGTTTGAAGTTGTGGACAGGTGTCTTTTATACTGATAACAAGTTCAAACAGGTGCCATTGATACAGGTAATGAGTGCAGGACAGAGGAGCCTCTTAAAGAAGAAGGTACAGGTCTGTGAGAGCCAGAAATCTTGCTTGTTTGTAGGTGACCAAATACTTATTTTCCACCATAATTTGCAAATAAATTCTTTCCAGATCAGCCAATGTGATTGTCTGGATTTGTTTTCTCATTTTGTCTCTCATAGTTGAGGTCTACCTATGATGCCAATTACAGGCCTCTCTCATCTTTGTAAGTGGGAGAACTTGCACAATTGGTGGCTGACTAAATACTTTTTTGCCCCACTGTATGGGGGAGGGGAATACGCCTTTTTGGGGGGAATTTTGTATTTTCTTAGGGAGTGATGATGGAGTTTTACTGTTTGCCTCAATAAATGAAGAGATGGACACGGCTGTTGTGGGAACATTTATTATGTATAATGTCATCAGAGATCACCGAACGGTTTCTGTCAGGACTATCTAGACAGGATGGGATTTGATTTTCATTATCATTTTTGAACTGTTTGACCCAAGACCATTGTGAAGGAGTGGGAGATGATTGGTCAGCCAATCATTATCCTCTCCCCTACTATCTCCCCGTGCAGCAACTGCTCTCCCCCTACTATCTCCCTGTACAGCAACTCTGCCTTTCATATGAGGTCTCTCTGTCTTTGTAGTATTTTGATGGAGGTGAATGTATTTTATTTATACTGTGGTGATGGGGGAGGTGTAGAATGTTTATTGCTCACTGTTTACTGTATGGTGATGATGGGCTGCATACACCCACTTTTCACCAACATGTATATGCTGCACACCCATTAGTTGTAGTTATTTGTTATTCCCTCTAGTGTTCTCCAAAATTGTTACATTGTATCTATTGTTACAAAGACATATTTCCTGAGCTCCTCAGCTCCATCCCAATGACCCCAAGTGACCCCAATGAGGTATTTCACTACTGGATATAATAAAATAAAATTCATTAAGAAGAGGAAAAATTCTAAAGAATGTTTGTAATCACACAATTTGCACAGAAGGAATGTTCATGAAGATTTGCTGGATGAATGATTATACTAATTTTTTTTAATAAATAGATTCTGTAAGATACCCAGTCTGCTTCTAATTCCCACTGGGAGCAGTCTTCCTATTTACCACTTATATTCCCCTCCTAATATTGTACAACCAATACAGCCCAGATAATTCTCTTCTAACCGTCTACAGAGACACCCACATAGATCACATGACCACACCAATGAGGATGGAGGAGGACCGGAGTCACATGACTGAGAAGATACTAAACCTCACCCTGGATATCATCTACCTGCTGACCGGAGAGGTGAGGAGGATTCTGGGAGGTCACATGACATCACTCTTATCTCTATTAATAAAACACAGACCTGACCGGAGAGGTGAGGAGGATTCTGGGAGGCCACATGACATCACTCTTATCCCTATTAATAAAACACAGACCTGACCGGAGAGGTGAGGAGGATTCTGGGAGGTCACATGACATCACTCTAATCTCTATTAATAAAAAATTTACCTGACCGGAGAGGTGAGGAGGATTCTGGGAGGTCACATGACATCACTCTCATCTCTATTAATAAAACACAGACCTGACCGGAGAGGTGAGGAGGATTCTGGGAGGTCACATGACATCACTCTAATCTCTATTAATAAAACACAGACCTGACCGGAGAGGTGAGGAGGATTCTGGGAGGTCACATGACATCACTCTCATCTCTATTAATAAAACACAGACCTGACTGGAGAGGTGAGGAGGATTCTGGGAGTCTAACATGATATTCCTATTGGTTCCTCAATACAGAGATTTCCTCTTCTGATGTCAGGTGATGATATGACCATCACAGTGCCTCCATGTGACTCCCTAAACCCTGAGAGACACAACATGCAGAAGATTCTAGAAGTCACCAAGAAGATGATGGAGCTGCTGACAGGAGAGGTGAGCGGTGCCGGGAATTCTGGGACATTCTCCAGTAACAGACAAGGGATGTGTCTGGATGGTGACTGTATCATTGTGTGTGTCAGGTTCCTATAAGGTGTCAGGGTGTCACTGTCTATTTCTCCATGGAGGAGTGGGAGTATTTAGAAGGACACAAGGATCTCTACAAGGACGTCATGATGGACAATCAGCCGCCCCTCACATCACCGGGTAAGAGGAGACTTTATTGTAAAGGAGAGAGCAGTACGGAGGATCCACCTAGATCCCCCATCATCTGATAAACACATAGAAACAATGGATTCAGTCAGTGTGTGTGTTTCCTACAGATGGATCCAGTCATGGGAACCCACCAGAGAGATGTCCCCGTCCTCTGTATTCCCGGGATTCCACACAGGAAGGTCACACCATCCCTCACCATCATCAGGTAGATGAGGAACAATCACTGATAGTATCATTAGGATCTGTACATTATCTGCATTGTTACCATTGATGGCATTTTTATTATATATTCAGAGTGGAAACCTGAGAGATCCTAAAGTTGAGGTGAAAGTAGAAGAAGAAGAGGCGTATGTGAGGGATGATCAGCAGTCTATGGAGGAGGATGGAATAACGGGGACATTTATAGAGGAGGACACTCCTACAGAGATCAGCACAGGTGGGTCATGAACACTAAATCCATTCCTCCACCCATACTGCTCACTGATTGGTCCAGAGTAGGGCGGGGACTGGGTGATATCAGCCTGTAATCCCCTGGTCACTTTCCTGAGCTGTGTTCCCCGTCCTGTATTCCTGGATTTCTCTCGGATAATCTTCCTTCTCTGTGCTGCAGACACAATTTATGTATCTAGACTGGATTTATGGAGATTCTGGGGTTCAGCTGGCAGAAAAATATTGATTCACAACCTCTGCTCAACTTCTTTTGTTACACCCATTTCCTACCAGCTGGACATTTTATATCGGATGATGTGATTGGAGTACAGACTTTTACATGGTGATAATAATGTGATAACATCCTCCAACTTTGGACCCTTAAACAGAAAGTGATCATGAGGGAGGAGTCAATACCCCAATGATGGTGTTCTTCAGGATCAGTCCAGTCTTCATCTTGGTTGTTCTCCCCCCATCCTCACTCTCTGACCTCTGGTGGGGCTCAGCCCCGCTGTTCTTCATGACTAAATCATGGACTAAATAAGGAAGTGCAGTACTTCTTGTGTTGGGAAGATGGCGATGAGTGATAGAGGGGGTGGGGACCCTCGTCCTATAATCCCCTCATCACTGTCCCTCCTATAAAAGACAGTTCTGGTTGTTTCCTCACTCTCTGACTAAGGTCCATGAATAAAGAAATGACCTGGTAGGAGATCAGAGGAGCCATTTCCTAGTTCCCTTGAGGGTGGAATTGTAAGATCCTCAGAGCCCAAGCTGCCTGATGTAGGTGGAGTCCTGGTTTGGGGGAACCAATCAGCTCCTGTCTAGTAATCCTCTTTGTCTTTGTATTTTAGTCCATGGCCTGGAGATGAGGAAAACCTCTGAGGATTGTCTCACTTTGTCTCCAGACTGGAAAGTAGAAGATGAGGACATCACACAGTATAGTCCAGGAGAAAACCCGGCTCCCTCCAATGTCCATCCGGCACCACCCAGTGTAGATAGACCATCGGATTCCTCGTATCCTGAGGAACCTCAGACTGTGCGGGACCGGGCCGACCTTCCAACAGGGAAGAGCTTCTCCTGTACTGAGTGCGGAAAGAGGTTCCATTCTAAATCCAAACTTAATGTGCATAAAAGATCTCACACAGGGGAGAAGCCGTATTCCTGTCCTGAGTGCGGGAAATGTTTTTCAGTGAAGTCCAATCTTTACAGACATCAGGGATCCCACACAGGTGGGAAAATATATTCCTGTCTTGAGTGTGAGAAATGTTTTTACAGAAGTATGATCTTTACAGACATCGGAGATCTCACACGGGGGAGAAGCCATATTCCTGTCCTGAGTGCGGGAAATGTTTTTCACAGAAGTCCAGTCTTTACACACATCAGAGATCTCACACGGGGGAGAAGCCATTTTCCTGTCCTGAGTGCGGGAAATGTTTTTCACAGAAGTGCAGTCTTTACACACATCAGAGATCTCACACAGGGGAGAAGCCATTTTCCTGTCCTGAGTGTGGGAATTGTTTTTCATACAAGTCCCAACTGTATAAACATCAGAGATCCCACACAGGAGAGAAGACACATTCCTGTCCTGAGTGAGGGAAATGTTCCTCACTGATGTCCTGTCTTCCTGTACATCATAGATCCCACACAACCCTGGAGGTGTATTAGTGCCTTGAGTGTGGGAAATGTTTTCTAGATGAATGTTGCTGGACATCCCAGCTCTCATGTGGGGAAGAAGCACACCCTGATACACACCTCAGATATACTCCATGGCTGATCTTCATCATGGAAGAAACAGTCCTTAAGGAGATCAGAGGTCACCAAAGACATGGATGAAGTGTGGGACCGGGTTGGCCACTGATAGCAGCAGAAGAATAAAAATGGAGTCCTGACTGGCTGAGTACATTTTGTGGTGGGAGATTTCACAAACACTTGGAGGTCGTTTAAAAAAAAAAATTTAGTTGAACGAATGTGACAAGTTTAGGCAATATGTTTTTCATGTGATCATTGGCTTCACCTAGTGACCAGAATGGTGTATTGTGCTAATTTTACTGCTGGAGATGTTACCTCATTATGGTCACTAGATGGAGCTGATGATCATAGGAAATAAGTGTGTTAATTAAGACGTTCAGAATTTGTACCAGGTGGATGAATGTGACATTCTTCCAGTTAATGTTCTATAATATGCCCCTTAGTTTCCTTTATCAGGCCGGGTTTCATACAAATACCTGGGATCATGTTCCCGCAATTGTGAGTACAGTAGACTCTCATGGATGTATGTTTATGAAACCAAACTTCGATATAATACTGAAAATACTGCATTCGTCTGTTCAATGGTGATAAGTATCATAGGAATTGGCACCATCTAGTGAACAAATGTAACATTTTATATTTTAAATCAATGGAAAACTTTCATCCAGCTCAACAAATATCCCGAGAATGTTCACCTAATACCCCCATTCACACGGGAGGAAATTCTGAGGAAAATTGCTCGTTCCAGACATTGTTCAGAAGAACAGCGTACCTTGATTAAAAAGTTGATTGGAGAGGGGAAAACATATAAAGAAATGCACAAAATGATCGGCTGCTCAGCTAAAATGATGGCAAATGCTTTATAATGGCAACCAAAACCTGAAAGACGTGGAAGAAAGCGAAAAACTACCATTGGAATGGATAGAAGAATAGCCAAAATGGCGCGGACTCAGCCAACAATCAGCTCCAGGAAGATGAAAGAAGGTGTGACGTTCCCTGTGAGGACTGTTACAATTAGAAGACGCCGATGTGAAGCCAAGCTATCTGCAAGAAGCCCCCGCAAAGTCCCACTGTTGGAAAAAAGACATGTGCTGAAGAGGTTACAATTTGCCAAAGAGCACATTGACCGGCCTAAAGAGAAATGGTGCAACATTTTGTGGACTGATGAAAGTAAGATTGTTCTTTTTGGGTCTAGTGGCTGGAGACAGTTTGTCAGACGACCCCCAAACACTGAATTCAAGTCACAGTACACTGTGAAGACAGTGAAGCATGGTGGTGCAAGCATCATGATATGGGGATGTTTCTCATACTACGGTGTTGGGCCTATTTATCGCATACCAGGGATCATGGATCAGTTTGAATACATCAGAATACTTGAAGAGGTCATGCTTCCTTATGCTGAAGAGGAAATGCCCTTGAAATGGGTGTTCCAACAAGACAACCACCCCAAACACACCAGTAAATGTGCAACATCTTGGTTCCAGACCAACAAGATTGATGTTATGGAGTGGCCAGCCCAATCCCCGGATCTTAATCCAATAGAAAACTTGTGGGGTGACATCAAAAATGCAGTTTCTGAGGCAAAACCAAGAAATAGAGAAGAACTGTGGAATGTGGTCCAATCATCCTGGGCTGGAATACCTGATCACAGGGGCCAGAAGTTGGGTGACTCCATGCAACACAGATGTACAGCAGTTCTCAGAAACAGTGCGACTACAACCAAATATTCATGAAGTCATTCAAAGGAAAGCAAAATCTTCAAACATTTCTCAGTTTATATAGTGAATGTTTGAGTTTGTAAAGAAGAATACAAACACTGCGATTTTTTTGAACCGTCTAATATTCACTTTTCTTCCATTTTTTTAGGAACAACACAAATTTGATATATTTTTCTTCATGTTGTGATTTGGAATAGAATGTGTCGTGTTCCCAATGCATTTGTGGGGATGGAAATAAAAGCTATTAGAAGGATTTTCAGCTTTATTCACTTTTTTCAACACACTGCTATTATTTTGAACACAACTGTATGTCTTCTACAATAGAAAAATGATGCGCTGAGTGAGCTTCTGTAGGTCAGTCACTTCAGCTTCCAACCTTTAGTACATGGAAATAAATGAATAAACCATGCACTAATGTACTAATCAGATCCCGCTTGCTGCTGTCAGTCAGTCATGACCCAATCCGTCACGCCATGCCCACAGCGACTAGCTAACCGCAGATTCTAGGCTAGAGTTGTCACCTAGATGCCAATAAAACGTCACCTTTGTAGCTAGAGTTTGCCACCTTCTTGAACCTAAAAGAAGAATCCTAGTCATTTTGGCTACAAGAGTCAGCAGGAGACCAGCAGAAGGCTCTGAAAGGTCTGCCAGCTCTGATTTATATTCACAGATCAGAGGAGTCAAATGCATTCAAATGGATGCATCTGATAAAAGCTAAAATATTAGTTGAAGAGAGATGAAAATTTTAGGCTACACGTACATGTAAAACTGTATTTGTAGCCTATGTAGAATCCTGGAGAAACACACAAAATGGTTATATGGTGCAGTTTCAGACAGCTGAACAATGGTTGGTACTATCACGATTGGATCGGAAATCCTATTCCTGACCCAGTGATCCAAACCTTTTCTGGCCCATTCGAGATTGGGCACTTCAGAACCCAGAACATCCAGTGGGATGGTATAGTAACCCCCCCCCCCCAGGGTTGATTGACCAAGGCTAATGTCAAGTCCACATCCATATTTCAATAAATTGAGGACCCTGAGATATGGATGGGTGATTCTATTCCTATCATTTTAGTCCTAAAACCAGATTGTACTTTGAGGTTTTGTAATGACTTCAGAAAGCTTAATTCAGTGACAAACGTTAACACGTACCCTATCCTCAGGTAAATGAGCTCAGGGACAGGCTTGGGAAGGCCCGTTTTCTGACCATTTTGGACTTGACAAAAGCATCCTGGCAAATCCTCCTGATTGAAAGTGCCAGTGAAAAAACTGCATTTGTGCCTCCCTGAGGGTTCGTAGCAATATGAAAAAAATCATCAAATAAATCTTTCAGTAAACTTGATTTACCCTCTAATAAATATTAGTGTATACAAATAAAGTCCAAAACCAAAAAAACATCAAAAACCCAAAAGTCCAAAATAAAGTCCCAAAAAAGTTACTTCAAGAAAAAATCTTTATCTGTAATATCTTAATTCTTCATATCTTCAAACATCTTTGTGATATACTTCAAACCAAATCTTCATATACCTCAAAGGAAAAAAACTCAACATGTGTATTATCTTCAAAAAGAGGGGTATATAAAACGTGCCACACGTGTTTCATGCACACAAAAAAATTTGACGTGCCACCACAACCGTGAAGGGAAATCCCTCAGCCTTAGGAATCAATCCACTGCATACCAATAGAGGAAGTGCATAGTTACCCTCAGAATGATATCAAGGGTCTGAGTACTTCTTTCCAACCTTTTAATATTCCTTCAGCCTTTCCAGCCACTTCCCACAGACCTCATAAACAGACCAGGGATCAATATGTATCATAAAAGCTTATAGCACTTTATTGTAGCAACTTACATTCAAATAAGATGACATCAGCTTCCACACCAAAAACGATATGTTCACAATCCTGCCTCTCCTCACAAGTGTGTAGGTATCCACACCATCCCACTCCCGAGGGGGAACAGATCGCCTGTGGTAGGTACCCAGTACCTCAAAACCCCATGAGGATTCCAGGAAGCCGCAGCCGCATGTACCAGGATCAAAAATGGCCGTCACCGCACTTCCGGAAGAGCGTCACTACGTCACCACGTCACGTGCCCCGGACGCGTTTCGTCACATCCAGACTTTATCAACAGGGATTCCCTGTTGATAAAGTCTGGATGTGATGAAACGCGTCCGGGGCACGTGACGTAGTGACGCTCTTCCGGAAGTGCGGTGACGGCCATTTTTGATCCTGGTACATGCGGCTGCGGCTTCCTGGATCCTCATGGGGTTTTGAGGTACTGGGTACCTACCACAGGCGATCTGTTCCCCCTCGGGAGTGGGATGGTGTGGATACCTACACACTTGTGAGGAGAGGCAGGATTGTGAACATATCGTTTTTGGTGTGGAAGCTGATGTCATCTTATTTGAATGTAAGTTGCTACAATAAAGTGCTATAAGCTTTTATGATACATATTGTGGTGGTTTATGTAAGGATATATTCTACTTATAAAGGGCGTGTCCCTTTCCCTTAGATGAAATATTACAGTGCCTCCAGCCGTTAAAATACAGCAAATATTTAGTAAACCAATAATTTGGACACCTTGATAATTTGATTACCACTTATTATTATACCTTGAATTCTTTTAGCCAGTATGATTTCGTACCATACACACAAAATTTGCCTTATAATAGATAAATATAAAAATTTATTTATGTACAAAAATTATATATATATTAACACAAAACGCAAAAGACTGGTGATAAATGAATATTGGTACACACAATCAAAGATATACCCTACCAATGTAATACACAATACTAATGTTTCCAAATAATTAAATCAATATCACAATTTCTAAATGATCTGATTAAAAACTAAATTTATTAATAACTAATAATTTTGAGTATCTCAAAGGTTATATTCTCACAAGCCGTGGCCATAGGATTGCAAGAAGCTATTCCTTGATAAATTATACTCTGATTATTAATATTTAATAAATTATGAAATATGAAAAATTTTTATAACTTGACACCAAACAATTTTTAACAGTAAAACAGGATCTCTCTACATATATATAACTACCCAATATTGTTGTGATACACTAAGGTAATTCTATGATTCCACACAACAGAGAAAATAGGT